GTGGTGGATTCACCTCATATAAGTAGCAGTCAACATTCTAAAATGTGATAATAAGGGGGCGGGAGGATACAGCTCAGTGGTAGAGCACATGCTCAGCATGCACAAGGTCCTGGGTTCAATCTCCAGTACTGCCATTAATAAATAAACCTAATTACTGCCCCCTCCAAAAAAAAAGTAAAATATGACATTCATAATAGCATTATTTTTTCTATAGGTGTCTTTTTGTGTGTGTGCTTAATTGAACATTAGTCAGTTTACAATGTACATAGCAGCATTATTAACAATTGCCAAAAAGTGGAAATAACCCAAATGTCTATCAGGCAATAAATGAAAAAAAAAGTGGCCTATCCATACAATGAAATTTATTCAGCCATAAAAAGAAATGAAGTACTGACTTAGCTACATCATGAATGAACCTTGAACTATTATGTAAATTAAAGAAACCAGAAAGAACCAAAAAGACCAGATATTGTATGATTCCATTTACGTACAATGTGCAGAATATACAAACCCAGAGAAATAGATTCATGGTTGCCAGAGACTGGAGGGCTCGGGAGAAATGGGAAATACCTGCCCGTGGGCATGGGGCTTCTTTTGGGGGTGATGAAACATCCCGAAATTGTGATGGTTGCACAACGTTGAGCTAAAAAGTACTAAACTGCACACTAAATGGGTGAGCCACACAGTATGTGAATTATATCAAGTTGTAACTGGAAAAATGAGGTAAAATTGAAATCTCCACATCAAAATCTGGATGCTCAGCCTCTCTTGGGAAGCCCCAGATCTGGCAGCACTGGGTCTGAATTCCTGCATAGTCCCCTTGGGTGGAGCTGAGGAGTGGCTGTCCCCTTAGACAGGGCAGTCAGTCTCCACCACTCCCCACTGACAGGCACGGAGGCTGCAGGTCAGGTCCCACTTCACTTTTTTATGTCTTTTCCTAGCTGGCCCGTTTGCAACCTTTCATGAGGATCATGCCAAATAAGCAGAACTTCTGGTTAAAAAATATGCAAGTGCAGGTTTCATGGTGTTTATTAACAGAGTGTAAACATGCCTTCTGCAATAGTCATGACTGCTCATAACATTCATTTTCACAGCCAGGCTCCAGGGTTGCAGAACAAAGCAAAGGGTGGGGCAGTCCCTGGATGCTGGGGGACTGGAGAGGATACTTCAAGAGGGGTTTTCATGACAGGGAAGGAAGCTCCAGTCCACCAGAACCCAAAGGCCTGAGGAGGAGAGAGAGTGGAATGGGGAGAATGGATCAGGTCAGAAACAAGTCAGAGCCTGCAGGTGGGGATGGAGCTGTGGTCCTATGCATGTCTGCCTCATCCGTGTATGACTGTGTCTTGTCTACCCTCCTGACATTTCAGCAAATGCTGAACACCATCTACCTTTCCCCCTCCTCTCAGTCCCCAAAGGCTCAGGGAGAGAGAGTTCTCTGTATTTGTAAATGCTTCATCTCATGCTCCGGCCCCAACTCAGAGGCTGCAAAGTTGTCTGGGGACAAATGCCTCAGAGCCAGCTGTGGAAATAAACCAAATCCAATCCTGGCCTCATGTGGAATGTGGGTTCTACAGATGTTGTGCTGCCACCTTCTGACCATCCGAGGGAACGACACCCCAGTACAGCAATGAAGGTGTCTGGCTAGAAAGAAAATCTATTTTTCTCTTTGAAAGTCCTCCTCTAGACGTCTGCTTTCAAGAAACAGGCCATGAGTGGGACTTCAGTTGACTTCTCCAGTAAGAAAACTCAGGCTGTCACGAGAGACACCATCTAGCTTCCCACAGCCACAGCCCGGGTTCTAGGATCGCGCTGGGTGAGTACGCAGGTGCTCAATAAGCTTCTGTTCAATGAAGGAAAAGTATGGAAATTGGGAGGAAGTAACTGAGCCCCCTTCTTGCCCATCAGGTCTTTCCCAAGCTCTTTACCCAACCCAGCAAGTGCCCTCACACCTCAACCTGCTCAGCCTAGAGCCCTGGGGTGGGTGGAGCTCTGTGCCCGAGGCCCACTCCAGCCATGGCAGAATTGGGGCTTTCGGGACACAGTCTTCTCTGCTGGGAGCCCGGACTAAAACTTTAACACAAAAATACCTTAATATTCCTCTGAAAATAATGGAAGAAAAAAAAATCTACTGAGGAAGACAGTGATGTGTAGGGACCTAAAGGCCACACCGCATCTCTCTCTCGGCTTGGGCTCCCAAAGAAAAGGCTACACGCTGAACCCTGGAACATCGGTTCAGATCAGCACGTAGTGTCAGGGCAAGCTCCCAGCTCTGGGATCTGCACTGGAGAGGGTCAGCGCCTGTCAGAGCCTACAGGATACCCCTCAGCGTGCCTGTGTGCTGGATGGGCGTGACGCCGAGGACGAGGACAGCCACCTCCAGCCGGCCCCAGGAAGGCCAGGAGCAACGTGGGGCAGCCTGATCGGTGGGCGAACACCAGTAACCCGCTGCTAGACCACCTGCACAAAGCTGTGTGAACCCTTCCGAAGAAGAAATGACCACAATTTAGGTTTTAAATATCTTTTTGCGGTAGATAATCTTATTTACATTGATACAGAATCATTTTACATTCTTAGATCAGACACTAGTAGATGCTTTATTTTAGTAAATTATGAAAGAAAACAAAAAAGAAACTAACCAGAAGTGTTCTCCATTAGCCTGTCTTACCACAGCGGGAGGATCTGGAAACACAACGGAACCCGCACAGCCTCCAAGCCAAGGCTGGGGACACTGCTTTGCTCTGGGTGGATGGTGGAGGACCTCCAACTGCTGAGACTACGCTTTCTTTTGAACAAACATTTATACAGGAAAAGACGATGATTCTTAGCACTGAATAATTTAAACACACTTCTGCAAACAGAGGTCAGCAGTGTGAGTGGTGAGAACCAAGCCCCTGGCAGGCAGCGGAGCAGGGGGAGGCCATTAGTCGGACCCAGGACATGCTGGCTGTGGTCCAGCAGAAGGGCCGGAGCTCCACTCACACCTGGCTTAGAACAACAGAACTCAACAGTTGAGGGACAAGAGGCCGCTCCACATCGGGTGGGAGGAAGGACTGTCCGTCCTGACAGAGATCACGGCTCATGTGCTCAAGAGTGGCGTCTCCAGGGACCCTCTTTACATGTATCACCCTGGGGTCCCAAGGCTCCAATGTTCCAGCTGCTTGGTACCTTTGGGAATTAAAACAAACTCCAAGAAGAGTAGGGGACGCCCCTGCTGAGGGACAGAGGACACTGGTGGGGTGTGCATGTCCCAGGTTCCTGAAAAAGACAGCCTGACAGTAAAGACTCATTTTGGAACCTCCCAGAGGTTTGCTGAGAGGGAAATTAATCACTTCACAACTTGGTGCAGCTTAAGGCTTCATTTTTAAGCTGTAAGCATGGCCTTTAATTCTTTAACTAAGATCTCCACCACATTCGATTCCAAATCAGTTTTAGCTCTGCAAGAAGTGTCCAGCCATGACTCTCCCTGTGCCAGAAGGAGCCAAGTACCTACTTGTGGACAGGAAACTACCAGCCCTTAGGCATGCCATGCCTTACTGCCCAGGGGCTGTCCACTGTGACCATTCCACGGAGAGGTGAGTTGTTACATGATTTTGCTGTTGCCAAGGCGGTCCAGAGGGCCTCTGCAGGCAGGGCTCGGTGCTGCCGTGTAGGATCCTCCTGTGTCCTAGGTGTCCTGGCCACAAGGAGGGACTGTTGCTCCCGGCCTAGTTTCCAGTGGACCGTTTTCCTGAGCCAAGACATAAACAGTTACATTTCTCTGGCATCGAAAGATAACACACACTGTTGGTGAGTTTCTGTCATCCCTGGCAAGGAGCTACACCAGGAGCTCCAGCTACCAGGGACCAGCACAAGTAAAGAGTCCTGAGACACCACAGTGAGCAAGCAGGACTCCCAGCAGCCCCCACCCCCACCCCTAACCAAGGTTTAGGAAGCCCCGAGCTTCCCCTGCAGGACAGGGCACTATGAAACAGGCAGGGGTTGGGGAGATCTGAATTCTAGGCCTGGCTCTGCTATGACTTGCCCTCTGTGACTGTGGGCAACCTGGTTCCCACCACTATGAGATACAGAGCCCCCAGGAGTGGCAGGAGGAAGGCTGTGAGGCAGCCGCCCAGTGCAATGTCTCCAGGAAGTGGGCCCAGCAGAAGCTGGCTGCTGCAGTGTGGCTCAGCCCTTTACCACCAGCTGACTGTTACCCTAATGCAGATGTCCCCACGGGCTGAGAGGCTTGGCTCTGATGGGGGCCAGGCACACCATGCCTGAGACTGGTCCCTCTTCAACTCTGGGGGTGGGGGACATGACACTGGTTAAAGTGAGGGAAACAGAGGTTAGTTCAAGGAGAGAAACAAAAGGGGGAGAAACCTCAGGGGTTTTCCTACCTCAGCTGGGATATCAAGAGGTAAACATTTTCTTAAGTTTGGAAAGGAATCCCTCCTTGTCCTCCCCAGCCTCAGGCCTAGCCTTGCCTCCTGCGGAGCTATCCATGGTGCTGCCACCTGGGCACAAACAGCAGAGAGAACTGGGGTCAAGGGCGCACAGCTCAACGCATCACATCCCAGGCCCTGCCTGGCCACCCAGGGGCTTGCCACTCAAGGAGTCACCAAGAGCCACTCCAAGAGGAGTGGGGGCCCTGCCGGGGTGGACCAGGGCTGCCTCTCCCGTCAGATGACTCAGCACTTCAGTGCATCCCAACTGCTCCTCGAGTCACTGGCTGACAAGAGGGAAACAAGAAACAGAAAGGGACAACCACCAGTTGTCTCTGCCTCAACAACTGTAACAGAAGTAGAGCCCAGGGCCAGATGCCTTCCAGGCTAGGCCACACGGCTTCCACATTAGCTCATTCAATCCTTAGGATAAACTTACAGGTAAATGTCACAGAGGAAAACACCAAAACAGACACAGAGGGGTTAGGAGGTGACCCAAGGTCACAGAGCCAGTAAGCAGGAGGGAGACCTGAGTTCAGATTCAAGCAATCGGACTCAAAAGCCCAGGCTGTCACCCACCACGCCACCGACTCTGAGAAGGCAAAGACACATGCCAAGACCACTGACCGGCTTCCACACCCAGGCTTTGTGTACAAACAGTCTCAGGGACACCCGGGTAGTCCCAGGACACATGCACGTGTCATGTCCGATGACGATGGCAACAGAGGACCCTGTGTGTCAGTGGGCAAGCCCTCCTCACCTGTGGCATCGAACCCCAAATGCTCCAGATAAAGGAAGCTGCTCCTGCTGTTTCCTGAGGGCCCGCTGAGGGCACCTCTGCTGCACAAACGCATCACTTTAAAGACCTGCCAAAAATGAGGCAGGGAGGGCCAACTTTTTGAGTTGGTTTACAAACTGTACTCAATATTTTTAATTGTGCCAGGAGAATTAGCGCAGTTTAAAGTGCTAGGAGATGTATACCAAATGCAGTGTGTAACAGGGTACAAAATGGTCACAACCCCAAGATCTCAGTCTAAGATGCCTTCATCAGGGAGAGGCTCAAAGCTCTGGGCAGCAGGCCCCCAGCAGGGCCGGGGAGTGGTTGTCCTGGATGCAGTCCCCTGGGCAGTCCTCTGGACCTGGCATGCTCTCCAAACTCAAGAACATCCTCAGAGAGATAGCAGTGGACCCAAACAAGGATGTGCTAACAGAGGTCTGAGCATTCAAGAAAGCCTAAGTGACCAGAAGACACTGATTCCCAGGGCTCCCCAGGTGAGGATCTGGGCACTGCACACTGTGGCAGGCCCCTGCGAGAGGCGTCCATGGCCGCAGGTTACAAGACCAGGTGTGACCTCTCTCAGTCCTTCAAGCCCGCTTTTCTTGCATGAAGGCTTAAGTAACAATAAAAGGACTAACACAAAGGAATCCACAAACCAGGAACTTCCCATTGCTCCTGGGCCTCCTGGGACAAGAGAGGGTAAGAGAACTGAATTTTGCTATGTCCTTGGTAAGGGAACAGCAAATCTTTGTGTGTGTATGTGTGTCACACTATGAGTTACCACTGATGGAGCTTTTAACATATGCCAGGTACCATGTCAAACACGATCTTCATGATCTCACTTAATCATGTAAGAACCCTATGAGGTAGATGCTACTATCCCCAATTTACAGGTGAAGAAACTGAGGCTCAGAGAAGTGAAGAAATTCGCCTAAGGCGTTATAGCTAATAATGGCAGAGCTGGGACTTGAATCATCTGACAGAAGAACCCAAGCTCTTAACTATTAGTCACGAGACACAAAAACAGTATTTGAGCCACAGAGGCCAAAGTCTGGGAGAGCCAGCATAAGCACTGGTTAGCTGGTTAATGATTCACACACAAAAAAACAAAACAGCAAAGCACAGACACACCCAGAAATTCTCACTCCCTGCCACCAAGAACATGTTCTTATCTCTTTTTATTTTTTTAAATGGAGGTACTGGGGATTGAACCCAGGACCTTGGATATGCTAAGCATGCGCTCTACCACTGAGCTAGTACTGGCCCCCCTCCCCATTTTAAGTTAGAAAATTCAGGAAGCTCCTTCAGGAATAAGGCTTACTGACAGGGACATCAAAGGATTTAAGGACTGAACCAAAAGTCAGGGATGAACTGTGAGCCTCTGCACATGGATGATGAGGTCTGTAACTACACTGGCCTGGGGGAAGGGGAGGGACATGTCCTTGTAGGATGTCCCGGCACTTGGGCGCCTTCTGGTGTCATTACAGGATACAAACAAGAGCACTTTACTTCCAAAGCTTCTCTGAGTACAGACGGTACATGATTCCTGCACTTCTAACAAACAGGAAATGCCCCTGTGGAAGTCTCTCCAGCCGCATGGGCACTGAATGTCCAGTCCGCACCTTCAGAAGGTGACCAGAGGGAGGGGCTGCTCAGCCAACCACAGAAAGAGGTCAGACCGGAGGCCACAGGACTCCTCTATCAGACCACGGCTTTCCAGAGCAGGGTTTACATTTCCATCCCTCAGAAGGAAAATGAATTCAAATAAACTCAGCCAACAGCGCTCTGTAAAGCGCTGGGGACTCAAAGGGGACGCTTTCTGGTCAGCTACATGCAGGGATTCCCAGGCAAAGTGTTTGATGGACAATAACCAGATAACGTTCATTCCGTGAATCTGGACCCTTTCTGGGCCAGAATGTTTTCTCCAGTTACAAACTCCCAGTGTTACGAGCAAGGTCTAGCACTTATTTAGGGGCTCAATGTTTGCCTGTCTTCCCCCCCTTACACTGTAAGCTGGATGAGGGCAGTGACCCTGTCTCTCTGGGCATCATTTCTTGCATGCAGCAAATACTCAATGACCATATGAACAAACCATCTGTTTGAAGCCAACAGGACTCCAGGATCTGACTTCTGAGGACTGGACCCGCCCTACAGGTGGAGGTGCAGCACCCACAGCCTGACTCCGAGACGCCTACTCGCACAGACTGAGCCAGCAGAGCACTTCTCCTTCTACTAACATGCCTTTGCCCTCATCTTTCTCTTGCCTCTGCCCTGCAAAACTAAAGGAGCTCTACAGTCAGTGCCATCAGCTTGTCTGGGACGGGTCACAGGTGGGATCCCCAGAAAACAAGCTCTGGAACAGCTCCCTACACAACAGCTAAATGTACGTTCGTGTGTCGTACGTGTAAGAACTAAAGATGATCCAGAAACACGCATAATGAGCCACTCTGTGTCTCTGAACCCAAAAGGTCACGTGGCACGTGGTGACCTCAGAGGGCCCCATCCCCGAGAGCGCTAAGAGTCCCAAGCTCACTTCGGTCTTTCTGTGTCACAGACTGGGAACGAAGCCAGGGTCAGCCATTAAGGTTTCTAGCAGCTGCTTAAGGGAAGAAAGATTAACAAGGGGTACTAAACCCACCAAGAACCTTAGGTCAGTCTCCTACGTTACTGTAACTATTCCAAATCCCTTCCAGGTACCCTTTCCCGGAATGAAAGCAAAGACACCCAGGAATCAGTTTGTACCTGCAGTGACAGTCTCTAAAAATGACTGTCTAACTCACGGGGACTTAGAGGCTATTAAGAAGTGACACTTTAGCCCAAGAACCACTGACAACTGATTGCAACTGCTTCTAGTATAATTTGAAGAAAAGAGATTCAGGCTCTACCTATATAAATAGGACCCACTTTTAGAGAAGCTGTCAGGAAAGGGGAACCCTGTGTGCTGGTGTGTCTGCACACGTGGACTGCAAAAGTAACCTCTTCACAGCACAGCAGGAGGCTTACTCACACCCAGGCCACAGACTGACTGGCAGTGCATTCCTGGAAGCCAATGCTAAGATTCTTAAATGTCATTTAAAGAATTATGTCTGGGAGCCAAATTTCCCACTGGAATACAATTCTGAAATGACAACAGGAGTGGAAAAAAATAATTTGGCACACCCATTTCACTTTATAAACAACTTTTCAGAAATGCATCCAATGCATTTATTAATGTTAAGCTTACTTGGCAAAATTATGTCGATAAAAATTTTAAAAGAAAGAACCGGCAAAGTGTCTGGCACACAGGAGCCTCCCAATAAATCCTGGCTGAATGAGGGGAGAAGGCGTGCGCTAAACAGACAAGGGGCAAGGGCAGTGGCTGCGTGCTGTCTACAGAGCAAATCTCACATGCTCCGTGACTGCAGAAATACTGGGGATTCAGGAAGGAGAAGCTAGAGGTGCGTGATCGGAGTTAAGTGGAGTAACTATTCCCACTGTTCCCACTTCTTTTTAGTTCAAGGGACGTTAACTGGACAAGCCTGTGAACCAAAACCACTAAAATAAGTGCCCACTTAGTGCCTGGTCGGCTGCAGACAGGATCTGTGGCAGCTGCTTTTTCACAGAGGACTTGGTCCCCTGGGCTTGACAGGAGCTCAGGCTGCTGCTGCTGGGACCCCTGCCCTGGGGCTCTAAGACCAAGCCCTCGACCCCCGGCTCTGACCACCTGCTCTGAATGACTGTATATTAGTTTAATACCATTCAAGTTCTGAGAAGGTGAGAGGTCCATCCAGGATCCAGGCAAAAAGAAAACAAGGCACCAAGGAAGCAACACTTTGGGCAACTGAAGCCAGTTCACCCTCGGCAGCGCCCATTCTGGCCTGAGGGGGAGGCCTAGCTGACAGAGAACAGCACCACCTCGGCAGAGCACCCCCGTCCCATGGGAGGAGGGCTGTGGCTGAGGTTCCCGTGGCCAAAGCATCTGCCTGCGGGCATTCTGGTATCAAATCACTAACATTTAACTACACTCTACAGATGGTTCATGACGTCTGAGCTCAGGGTAAATATGGTATCTGTTCACTGCCCTAGGAATTCAGTTAGACTTGCTGTGAACAGGCAGACCTGGGTCACGTGTCTGGTCTTTCAGTGCTGCGGTAACTGTTGTTTACAGGACACAGAAATCCTGGTGAAGCTCTCTGGGTCAGGAGTGCATTAAGCTTTTCAATCCATCTTCTCCTTTAGTGGTTACAAGGTGCTCCCGTGTAGGGACGTGCCCAAGGTCACAAGGCAAGTGGCAGAACCAAGGATAGAACTTGGGAGAGCAGCCCTCCAAGACACACAGCTGCCACCCGGCAGGAAGCACCACGGAAGTCGCCAACCTCGGCAACCAGCATGCGCACAGAGGGAGGGCAGCTTTCCTCGTGCGAGGCTGCCCTCGGCTGTTCCTAGCCCACAGCTCCCCTCTCTCCACTGTGCTCTTGGAGGCTTCATGAAGATTCCCAGGCGTAAACCCCAACATGCTCCCGAACCGTCCACCCTCCGTGGGGCTGGGGGCTCCCATGAAACTGCCTTACCAGTGCTTGTGCTGGTGACGCCATTCACTGTCCCTTCCACGTCAGTCTCATCTTCTGCGTAGCTCAGGATCAGGCTCTGCTGCCGGCTTGTCAGTCTCCTGTGGACCAAGCACAGTCCATGTCAGACAGTTTCCTTGGGGCAGTTCTTTAAATGACACAAAGGACACAAAGTGTGGGGGAAATGCGGGACCCCACAACCCAGGCACAGGGCACACCCTGAACCCAAGAGCCCACGCCCTCAAAGCTTCTGTAAATCTCAAATACTCTAAGTTGTTTTAAACAACACTGTGGCTGTGTTAAACAGTCTACTGGGGGAACAAAATGTTGTTACAATTCTGTGTGTAGGAAATTATCTAATTAAAAAGGGTGCTGGAAACCCTGTCCTCCCAAGCAGCGTCGGGCCTGCCCTGCTCCGGACACCCACAGCGTCCCGCTCCGCACGCCCACGGCCCCCCTGCTCCGCACGCCCACAACCCCTTGCTCCGGACAGCCATGGCGCCCTGCTCCGCACACCCACAGCTCCCTGCTCTGCATGCCCAAAGCTCCCTGCTTGGACTTCTCTCCCAGAGGATGTAGACATCACACAGCTTCACAATCTGGTTATAGATCCGTCTCTCCCACCAGACGGGCATCCTGAGATAATAATAAAATCAAAGGCAGCAGCAATAGCCAAGCGTTCCCTGTGGGTTATTAATTTCAATCTTCCAGCAACTCAACGAAGTCAAGCTCTCTTATTATGGCCCCTTGGCAGACGGAGCACTCGGGAGGACAGACCTGACTTAAAGGAAGAAATGACCTGCTTCAGCCTCGGCGCTTACAGTAGCAGAGCCACACGGGCCCGGCGATTGGGCCGGGCGCTGAACCCCTACCACCGGCACCAGCCCGGCTGGTAAAGAACCCTCAATGGGCTCCCACTCGGTGGTGAAAGCCGCAGAGACCAGGCAGGCCTGGCCACGTGAAGCAGGCGCTTACTTCGGGACCCTTATCTTGATGTGAATGTAGTGATCTCCGTAGCCGTAGCTGTTAATCCGGGGGATGCCCTTCCCACTCATCCGAATCTTCTGGTCTGTTTGAATCCCAGGGGGGATCTACAAAGAAAGGAAGCTCTGGTTTTCCTTGGTCTCCAGGTGCCCAAATGAAAACATTTCATGACGTGAAGACAGTCTTACTCCTGAAAAGAACTCCGTCCAGGTTTCTAGACCAAGCCTGCCAACTACCACATGGAAACTAGCTAGACTGGGTCCCCCTCCCCACCCCCCCCAGCAGAGCCTGTGACAGGACTTGGGGCAGGTAGTTTGGGAAGGTGAGCCCAGGAAGCAGGAGGGAGGGAGCATGGAGAGGGAGACCTGGGAGGAGGCAGGGCCAGCAGGGGGCGCTGCTGAGACTGCTCCCCTGCCCAGGAGCGAGCGCAACCCAGGAACGGCCCCTGGTGACTCACACCCAAGGCATGGCCCAACACTCCTCCTGCCCTCCCCTAGACCCCATGTCCTCTGAATCCCAGACAAGCTGGTTGTTCACAGGTTCCCGCCATTCCTCAGCCATTTTCTGTTTCAGGAAAACAGGGCATCGATGTACGAGGGTGGCCGCAACGTGCTGGTCCTCTTACCGTCACGTTGATGGTCTCGTATAGGCCCTGCGCCCTGGCCGTGCCCCCAAGAATAGCCTGGGCTATGGAAATGAAGAGGTCGGAGTGGATGTCTGCGCCGTCCCTCCGGAACACGGGGCTTTTCTGCACCTAGGGCCAAAAGATGGGGATTACGCACAGGGAAGTCCTTCTGGAGAATGGACAACAGCCCTGCGTCTCAGCAGCCTAGAAAGTGGTGTTGAGAGAGAGAATGTACTTTCACCAAAGCGGCCAGCACCCCAGGCTCTGAGAGTTCCACAGTAGATCCTTTCTCCAAGGCAATGCAAGGGTGTCAGCCTCAGATCTTTCTTGGTGAAGGAGAATAAAAACGTAAAATCGGCTTTTGAACATTTAAAATAAAAATCTTACTGTGTACTGGAAAACATGAAGACACACAGACTAACATGACCTACAAAGGCAAAGATGGTTCATTTTCCCAACAGTCATGTGGCACAAACTGCCTTCAAGTCAGACTGGTAGTGCTGAAATCACTCTGATTTTAAAGGCACTATATTTTGTGAATAGACATTCTCTGCCTTCCAGTGAGTTCTTCTCTGTCTTTTTTTCCTCTATGTTATTAGCTGAGAACAGAATCTAAATTCTCTACCAGGCCTTCCTCATCGATTGGCTTCCAGGCCACTGCCTTTGTCTTTGATTCCTCAGTCTAGAAGTCTCACACTTGACATTATTTTTGTCTTTGTTTTAAATTATCAAGTATTTCATATATTCAAAAACTGGCCAAGTAAAAAAAGTAACACATGTGGTGCACCCACAACCCAGCTTAGGTAACAGAACATTAGGACACAGGTGACGTCTCCTCACCTGTTCACCCCTCCAGAGTAACCACTATGTTAGTTTAGTATTTATCATTCCTCTGAGCATCTTTTTACTCTTCCCACATATTTATGTGTCCCTAAACAATATATACTACCACCTCGTGTGGTTTAAGACTTCATACAGATCCTCTCCCTCCCTGCATCCTCCCTCGATCATGACCTAGAAGTCCCAAAACGTCTCATGCTGACACGTGTGGCCTGAGCCTCCTGCTCTGAGGTGCTCTGTGCCCATGCGCGGTCCACTCACTGTTGTCAGGGTCTTGCTACTACGAGTGAGGCTGTTGCGCACCCTGCGGGGGCCTCCTCAGGGACACGTCTGGTGGAACTGCTCCCAGAAGGCATGACCTCCTCTCACGTCTCCCTCACCTCATGAAACCAGGTCTGCCCTTGTGTGTGTATATACCTTGGCACTTGCTGTCCCTCTGAACAATTCGATACATGAATAAAAGACAAAAGGAGACGTTTCCTGTATTTTTATGTGTGCTATGTTTCCAACTTGTAAACACTTTGAGGAAACTTTGTTCTCTCCACACTCAGCAAAGAAGCTTGATGTAACACATGTTAAATCACCCTGCCAAGGTGGCCACTGCTCGCCCTGGAAACGCGGATGGCCAGGGGCTCCGTGAAGCTCCTACCTCTCCCACGAGAAGCGTTCGTTGGCGATACCTTCTCCAGGAGAGCAAGGGCCCAACAGAAGCTATGCAAGCAAGCACCTACCCTGAATGTAATGAAAATTTCTCTTTTTCCTACAGGCATCCTCACAGTCTGGCCATCCTCGACTCCTGTAAATAAAACCAAAAGTTCAAAAGAGAACAATTATTTTGGGACCTCCCAAGGCATTTTCTACCCTAGATCCACTTATCTAGAACCCACCAACTTCCTTACTCCTGTTTCTTGTTAACAAGAAACAACACAATCATCCAACACAGCAACAAGTATAACTTTTCAAAGGTGCAACATAGAATAATTAGTAACCGGGGAGGCTGGGGGGACCAGTTCAGCGGCAGAGTGCGTGCTTAGCATGCACAAGGTTCTGGGTTCAATCCCCAGTACCTCCATTTTAAAAAATAATAATAATAATTGATAACCAAACAAAAGCACCTTCTATTCATTTACTCAAGTTTACTGCTAGGTCCACATGGTGTCTCAGTGACTTTAGAGTCTAGCAGGAGACAGCTATTAACCAAATAACAACACTAACAAATTTATCACTACAAACAGAGATGTATTCTTAGAAGGAAAGATCCCAACTCCAGACAAAGGAACATCTAAGGATCTAAGGAAGGAGGGTTCCAGAAAGCCTCCCTACGGGAGTGATGTTTGAGCTGGGAGCTCCAGGAGAACAGAATCAGCCCACTGAAAAGAAGGTGAACAGTGAGCTTCAGACACCAGGAAGGGCATATGCAAAGGCTCTGCTCTGGGAAGCAGGGGCTACATGAAAGTCGGGAAGCTTCAGGGCAGGTAACAAGGGGGAGACTAATAAGAAGGGAGGCTGGAGACTAACAGGAGCCAAAAGAGGAGGCCATTTCTTGGCCCCTGAGAGTCACTGCAGGGTCCTCCACAAGGCGAGTGACATGATCAGACTGCCCAGGGGAAAGGTGGCCCTGGGAACGAGAGCTGGTTGTGGGGAGCAGACTGGTCCCGAGGGCAGGAGGAGCGGGTGGTGTGGCCGCATGGGCCAGTAGTGGGAACAGTGATGGCCTTGGGACAGAAGAGAAGCGGGAAGGGGAGTTTCTTCATGCAGGAGCAGATGGGCCCGTCAGGCCCCATCTCCCTACAGGACATGTGTGTGCAGAGTTTGAGGATAACTGGGGCACAAAGGAAAAGGCAAGGAGACACCGGCTCCTCCTCCAGTCTGGGTTCCAGAAACAAGGACACCAGGGCCTTGGTTCCCAGCCTCCGAGTGTGGCGGAGCCCCAGACCCACCGGCAGGCACGGGGATCATCACTTTCTTCTTCTGCTTGGCTTGTCCTGCTCCTCTGCACACCACGCAGGGAGTCGTGATGATGGAGCCCCGGCCACCACACCTCCGACAGGTGGAGCGCATCACAAAAGGGCCTGTATTTATGGTTTCCTGATAAAAAGGAGAAGAAAAACAGACCCTTTATCACACTGACAGCCGAGGCCCTGGGACCACAACGTGCATGAGAGAGGAATCGTTTCGCTGAAGACTACTGTTTTGTGTGCATTCGCACTAAACATACTGCCTGAGGACGCAGGTGCAGGGGCTCAAACTGTTAACTGACCTAGAACACACTGACTTCTCAATTCCAAACCACCAAGCTGATTATATGACACTGAAAAATGAGATGGTCCCCTCTACAGAAGTTCCTGAAACCCCCTGGGAGCTGAGCAAATACGCTTTAAAAACAGTAAATGCCCCTCCACCCCATTAGAAAAGGGACAGCTGGGAAAGCAGGGAAAGCAGGATGAAAGTGGCAACTGAATGCAACCCCTGTGCAGAGGGGGGAGCAGCACTGTCCCCCAAGGCCCCTCAGTGTCCCCACCCCCATCACAGGAACCCCAGGAGCAATGAGGGAAGCAGCTCCCCTCGCAGGCGCTGGTGCTGCTATGCCCCTCCTCCTGGGGTGTCTTTGCCCTTGTCCCCACCCCCGCCAGGAGCCTCCCCAGCTCCCAGCTCCTCACCCAGCTGGTGGGGCCTTACAATTTGTGGCCACTCCCATCAGCTCCTCACTGGGCACCTTTTTATTTAACCTAATGTCCTTATTTTTTTTTTGGTAAATTATTAAGTACAATCGTTACAGCAAATCAAAGGATACAGAGATATATAATGAAATTCTTGCTAATCTCCCCCTCACCTTGACTCCCAGGGTGCCCAACTCTTAGTAGCTCAGTTTGAGGTGCTCTTCCCACAACTCACTGTTTTTTTTCTTCACAAGAGTTTCTTTTTTAAGTAAAAATTTTATAATGAGTGCATTATACTATCACTCTGCAACTTGCTCTTCATTTTATCTTCATGACACATCGTGAACATTCCTCCAGGCCAATAAATATAGATTTCAATTTCCATTTTAATACTTATGTTTCAGTGTTGCAGAAAAAAGTCTCTGCACATCTGTCCTTCTATTCTAATGTCTTTATCTTTTGTAACACAGATTTCCAAAGGCGGACCGGCTGGGACAAATAATTATTATCTTTAAAATTTTATGTGTTATATTTATTTGAAAAGGTCCTATGTGTACATGGTAAAAATTTCTAAAGTGAAAAATGGAGGTATGGTGAACAGTTAAGTGTGCCCCGACCCCTGACCCCTAATCATTCCAGGTCCCTTCCTTATAGGCACAGCTATAGTGATATTCTACTTTGACACACACATTTCAAGCCATCCACTTGGCCTGAAAAGCATTACGAGTTTTCCATAAGCCAAGGTAGCATACTGTGCACACAGTTCTGCAGCTTTTGCTGTTTGTTTTTAACAATGTAATGATCTTGGAGAGCATTCCTCATCACCATGTTTTCCAGACAACCTACTCCTGGTGGTCACCGAGGCCGTCCAGTCCTTCACTATTACACACAGGCTCCAAAGGACATCCTGTAGGTGTGCAATTTTTCAAGTGTGATCTGTAGGGTATGTCCCCACAGAGATGCACGTGTCAAGTTGAACAGCTACTGTAACCACCACTTCCCAAAGCCAGGGTGGTTTCCACTTCCACCATCAGTGCAGAGGCTTGGGCAGCAGCAGGGACGGTACCCGACTTTGAAACGTGTACCAGCTGAAGGGTGAGCCTCAGGCATCTTCTTGGCTCCCTCTGCACTTCCCTGACTGCTGGTCACTTGCATTTCCTCCTCTGCTCACCCTGACCTGTTTTTCCAATAAGTTGTTAGTCTTTTTCTTATTATTCTGAAGAAGCCCTTTACATATTAGGAATACTAACCCTTTAGCAAATGTGTTGCAAATATTTTTTCCCGATCTCAAACATTATACTTGGAGAGAAACATACTTCAGCTTTACTATCATACCTCAGTGCTCACCTTAAAAATGTGAAAAAAGAAAGTCATAGCGATTCAGGGCCTTGGAGAAAGGACCTTAGAAATGAGAGGGGACTGGGATCAATAAGAGTATCTGTAACAAGTGGCAGCAACTTGGCTCACAAAACTGTATCCATGGGAATCCTCATCCTAAGAGCGCCCTCTAGAGGAACACAAGCACAACTTCACTTTCTTAGACTAAGCAAATTGGTCCTTTTATCAGCAGGATTTATAGGTAACTGGACACACCCATCAGTGGACTATTATTCAGCCATCAAAAATGTTTAAAAATATTCAAAGATATGGAAAAGTGCTTTCACTATGATAAACAGTGAAAAGTGAGGGAAAACTGTATGTATGATTCAGCGGCTGAAAATTACATACACTATTTATAATAGCCATGACATAGAAACAACCCAAATGTCCATGGACAAATGACTGGATAAAGAAGTTTTGTGTGTGCGTGTGTGCGCATGTGTGCGTGTCAATGGAATACCACTCAGCCATAAAAAAGAAAAATGCCATTTACCTGCAGATTGGCATTCTAAGTGAAATAAGCCAGAAAGAGAAAGAAAAATGCCATGTATCACTCATCTGTGGAATCTTTAAAAAAAGGACACAAATGAACTGGTCTACAAGAAAACAGAAACAGGCTCACAGACATAGAGAACAAACTTATGGTTACCAGGGGGTAAAGAGGGTGGAAAGGGACAAAATTTGGGGAATT